CGAGGTCGAGTTTGTCTTGTTGTAAATTCGAACGAAGTCGAATTTGTCTTGTTGTAAATTCGAATGAGGTCGAATTTGTCTTGTTAATTCGAGCGAGGTCGAATTAGACTTCTTAATTCGAGCGAGGTCGTATGTACATTTCCTGTGTTGGCGTGTTGTCTAAACTTGGTGGAGTTGTGTAAGAACTCCGTATGTTGCTTCGCTTACTCATTTATTGGAGAATACTACATGTTGCTATACGGTCCCTACAAACATTCGAGGAGTCCCAGTCTATCTAGTACCTTCATCGCTTGGCCTGGAGAGGTAGTCGATAGGCCGGGGGATGAATGTCTCGCTCAAGCTTCGGGATATCTCAATGTACGTACGAGATTGAACTTTGGCTAGTTGTGTCGTCGCATAGTGGCTTTGGCGAGCGCATGGGTGAGTTTTACGCACTTGTGTTATGTCTGCATGTTGGAGAGATTCGTATGTTTTCTGGGCTGGTGACCCAGTCCCGGTCTATAGAGACTTTTCCTTTATGGCATTGAGTACCAACTCATTGGTGGGGTTTCGCTCGACCGTTGCCTGCACTATGATATGGCGCGGAGCGTTTTCTTGGTGTGCTATTTTGATGGGGTTTGTTTCCTGTTCGTGTGTCGGTGAGTATGCCCATGTTCTTGTCTCTCTGAAAAGAAATAGCAAGTTAAAGCCAAACAAAATCGTTTGTTACCTTGACTGGTTGGTTGACAAGTGGAAGATAGCGACCATGTTCCCTGCTTTGGCTATGCTTCGTAGCTACTATCATTGGTTGAGCTAATATCCACCGAACTCGGATGACATCTTGTGGGTCTTTGGCTTGGTGTTTTTGTCGTCTCCGCTACTTGGGTCTGGAAAGTCTCTTCGATCTGATTGGCAATGAACTGAGAGTGCTAACTTCAGATCTGATCTCAGCCTCTTACTTAGCTTCGGTGTTAGTCAAATCTGGGCATCTTGTGGGTTGATGAATTACTCCGCCCGTTGGGATCTTCGAGTTCAAGTACCAATCCGATCCAGTCCTGTGTGTGTGAAGAAACTAAAAGTTTGGCCAAAGGATGAAGTTACAACGAACGGGAAGTAGAACTAGAACCGAGTTTAGATCTAGAGGAAACTAAAACTTTGGCTAGGAAATACCAATAGACGGCGCCAAATTGTTTGACCAAAAAGTTTTAGGCTCTTTTTGTTAACTAATTAAATAATAAGATATGGGGTAAATCCTAGCCAGAGATAATTTATTCTAGATCAGAGATAGAAGACAAGAATGAACAAGCATAGCTGAACGTAAAATTTGGTTACAGTTGTGATTGGATCCATAATGCAAGAAAAGAAAGATGGCTCCAAAAAATATCAAATGATAACAGAGAATACATGAAGGAAAAGAATCACCATTTCTGCATAAACTAGATCTCCGTATATTTCATATAATTGAACTACAAACGACCGCTAAAATCCTGAGATTTGTCTCCTTTTTGGCGAAGAGCCTGAGAGGATGAAATATCTTCTCCGTTAGAGAGATGTATGTGTATGTATGTGTTCTCCTCAGCCCCCCTCCCCTTCCGTTACTCTCTCTCATGATATTTATACAAAATACTTCCTTTACCCAGCGGTCCTTAACCGGAGTACCTCAGCTCTTGGAATATCCTCTAGAGTATTCCTCTGAAATGTCTAAGTGTCGAACTAGCCGTTCGGGCCGAACTGAGTGCTCGACCTCGACCGTAGTTGAATCATTCGCTGGTATACTGCTTTCTGTACGTGACGTAGGCTTGGTGGACTCCTGGTCATTCTTCCTTAAGTAGAATTCCTTTGATCAAATTTTGACCTATACACCTAGTAGCATAACGAGCGATGCGCAGATATGTTCCAACATATATGATAGCCTGCAATAGTCAATACTCCCTCCGGTCCACAATAAGTGACCAATTTGCCTTTTTATTTTAGTCCAAAATAGTGTCCACTTATATAATCAAGAAAAAATTCAATTTATTTTTTCAAAATTACCCTTATGTATGTATCCCTAAAAAGTATTTTACTCCTCACATTAAATTATGCTGCAACATTTAATTAAGGGTAGTTTAGTCACACTAACTATTTTTGTCTAGACTTTAGTATTTCCTTAATGGGTATGCCCAAGGCAAATTGGTCACTTATTGTGGACTGGGGGAGTAGTCAAGAATCAAAATACTAGTAATGCAGCATTGATTGTAGAATAATAACAAATGGTATTTATGTAAATAAATACTAAGGAGTCACACTAGACAAGATGGAAGTAATGAATATTCTCTTTGACAATCTAGAATGATAAATCAATCTTTGAGTGCATGAGATATTCTCGGATGTAATGGAAAAGTGTAGGCAAGAATCTTCGAAAAAGGTTTTCGTGTGCTTATGGTTGGAATCAGATTTTCTCCTTCTCAATTCAAAAGTGTCTTTTACAAAATAAATATCACATGTCCCCGATCATTGTCTCTTTCTATTTATAGAGAACATGTTCCTAAAAACCCTAACAGTACAAGTGAAGAGGATATTTACTAGAATATTCTCTTTTATGTCATATCTTGAAACTACCCGTTATAACCAGTGGCGGAGCCAGGATTTTTATTAAGGGGAGTCAAATATAAAGAAATAAAATCACCAAGAAGTCAAGGGGTGTCATTATATATATATATATATATATATATATATATATATAAAAAATTACCGAGCTATACAGTGTAATTTTTGACAAAGGGGTATCGGTTGACAACCCTTTGGTGCATGTGGCTCCGCCACTGGTTATAACTCTGTCAAGAGTGCTCGACCTCGGCCTTAATCCTTGATGACTCTTCGACCACAACCTTCATTGTTAATTAGATCACTTCGACCCATGATGACTTGGAAATGCTTTAGCGATGTCATTTCAACTTAAATTCTAGAGGTAGATTTTGACCCATACAGTAGATATTAGGGTTTATACCTTCTTTAGCAACAACGACAACAATGACAAACTCAGTGTTTATACCTTCTTTAGCACGCTTGGTAGTTTGGAAGGTATAAAATTTTTAACATGCATTCTATCACTAATAAATATTGTCACAATAGGGAATAGTAAAGGAAAAAAGGATAGAGAGGGTGGTGAAAATTGAATTCACACATCGTGTAAAAAAACTTTTTCGGATACCATCAAACTGTAAATTTACTAACAATATTTACTATTCGCAGAGGACAACCCGTAACTGTCAAACTTACCCACACACCTACTCGCAGAGGAAGTTTGAAGAGTAGGCAAAGGGGCCACACCATGTGTTTGGTGGAGTTGATTTAGTTAAGTTTGCATCATTTCCATTATTATAATTAGTGTTATTATCAATAAAGAATAGTCTCATTCTTTTATAATGACAATGATAATCACAAGCAGCACTGGATTCGGGGCATAAACTGCTCTTGATAAGGACATAAAGAATCATAGTCCTAATTAATTATAATTGTCAGTGCAAAAGTTTGACCTTCCCTTATAATAAAAAAGGGTTTTCTGAAATGGCATATTCCTGCTAGATTATGTAAATGCTGTGTCATATTAATAAATGTACCTCTTATCAAAACAACGCACTCAGACGGAGAACTTTTGCAGGTCCCCTGTCTGGTTTTCTCTGTTGGGGACACTAATTCTTAAGTGGCTTTTTCTTGGAATAAAAAGACATTTTCATGGCACGACAATTGTATACTGTAATAACAACCCTCCACCGCAGTTATAAGTCAAGAAGGAAAAAAATGCTTTTGAAGCATTATTGGCTTCCTCTTTCTTTATGCTTTTTCTTCCTTTCCCAACTCAACTACCAAAAGCACTATTGACTCTTTTCTATAATAGTGGTGTCGGAATAGCTTTTACGCACCTCGATTATTCCATTAGGTAGCTGCTACCTTTTACCAAAGTAGGTTTTGGATAACTCTGCCCTCCAAAATTAGAGAGATAAGAAGAAATCATCTAGCATTTTTTTGTCCCTATTAAAATTTGAACCTTAATCTCACATGATTTTCACTCAATTAAATGCTGAAGGCAAAAGGCAAAAGGCAAAAGATATTAGTGACTATGTAGAAAGGCAACACATTTCATACTACTACAACAACAACATCAACATCCCAGTATAATCCCACAAGTGGGGTCTGGGAAGGGTAATATGTACGCAGACCTTACCCCTACCCCGAGGGGCAGAGAGGCTGTTTCCAGAAGACCCTCGGCTCAAGAGAGCAACAGGAGACATATATTAGTACTATCAATAGACTCATAATAAAATAACATAAAATACATAACATAAAATAACAAAATAACAATAATATAAGAAATATAGGAAATACGAAAAAGGATGGAGAAAAGGATGGAAGGTATACTAATATCCAACATATAAAGCCCTGCATCAGTAGCTGATCAGTAGCCTCCTAAGACTAACTCCTAACTGGCTAGTCTCACTCTAGTGCATTGTAGTATTATTCACAACTTCTCCCTAATCTACAACCTTAATGCTCGACCTCCACAGTTCCCTGTCTAGGGCCATGTCCTCAGAAATCCTAAGTCGTGCCATGTCCTGCCTGATCACCTCTCCCCAATACTTCTTAGGTCTCCCTCTACCTCTCCTCGTGCCCACCACAGCCAGTCGCTCACACCTCCTCACTGGTGCATCAGTGCTCTTCCTCTGAATGTGCCCGAACCATCTGAGTCTTGCTTCCCACATCTTGTCCTCCATGGGGGCCACGCCCACCTTCTCTCGAATATCTTCATTCCTAATCTTGTCCATTCTTGTATGCCCGCACATCCACCTCAACATCCTCATCTCTGCTACTTTCATCTTCTGGATGTGTGAGTTTTTAACCGGCCAATACTCGGTCCCATACAACATAGCAGGCCTAACCACTGCTCTATAAAACTTACCTTTTAGTAACGGTGGCACTTTCTTGTAACACAAGACTCCCGTTGCTAACCTCCACTTCATCCACCCCACCCCTATACGGTGTGTGACATCCTCGTCGATCTCCCGATCCCCTGAATAACTGACCCAAGGTACTTGAAACTACCCCTTTTAGGGATGACTTGAGAGTCGAGCCTCACTTCCACTCCTGCTTCCATTGGCTCGGCCCCAAATTTGCACTCGGGGTATTCCGTCTTCGTCCTGCTCAGCCTGAAACCTTTAGACTCAAGGGCATGTCTCCAAACCTCTAGCCTCTCGTTGACGCCGCGTCGTGTCTCGTCAATTAGAACTATGTCATCAGCAAATAGCATGCATCATGGCACCTCCCCTTGAATATAACACATTTCATACTACAAATTAGCAATATCTAAGGTCTAAATACCAAGTACTAAGAAGATGGACCAACGAAAGGTAGAGAATTGTGTCCCTTCATGAATACTCACCTTCTCTTATATTTTGTATTATATTCTGACATGCCTGTAAAGAGGGCGTATCAGAAGAGTATCCCCTTGAAAAAAAACTCAATCTCTTCAATTATGAAACAGAACATAATGCAAAAGTTTGAAATGTTAAAACACACAAAATAGCAGACATAGGAACTTGATCAATGCATGTGTAACTTTCTTTCCCAAAGACCAAATAGTGATACAATAATTCCCCTATCCTTAATGTTCACATGACTAAGTCAGCTTGATATTATAGAAGTTTTACAATGTTTGATTCCTTTTTGAATAAAGAAAACAATCACAAAATCATCATCCTAGCATCTATGCCTATCCCCACAAAATAAAAGACAAAAGAGGCAAAGGTTCCTTAGCTAAGCTAACTGCTTACCTGTTCCAGTACAGTCAGATTCCACTACTCCAAAAAGACCTTAAAGATTTGTGAGCTAGGTGCCAAAAGAAGTTCCAACTGATTTACATGAACCTGGAGACAGCATTACCAAACAATAACTGATCTACGAAGTTGGACAAGCATACTAAAGCATGGTGTTGCACTCTTAATAGGAATCAAAAGATCATAGCCAGCGATCTGCAAGAGCCGCAACAAATGCTTGCAAACTAACTGCTTGTAGAAAACTGCATCACATACACCTACAATAAGCTGAATAAAGCATAAAAATGTTACTATCAGGTTTACACTTTACACACAATAACATGAATGCGTTTCTAAAGTCTGATGGCTTTTGAATGCAATACTGCAGCACTACCAAGTGTCAGAAAGAAGAAACGTGATCTTGCAGAGACCTTTCAAAACATATGAAAGATCAAAAGGCAAACCACCCTGATCTTGCAGAGCAAGCGTGAGTTTGATATCGAAATAGGTGATGTTACTTACTACATTAAGAATTTTAAGTGTAACAAGAAATTCGTCAAAGTACAAGTTAAATTTAAATTGACAGATTCTTTTGGCTAGCTGAAAGAGAAGAAAAATCAAATTTCAACAGGCCCCAAAAGGAGAACTTCATATTGCAATTACTCTTGCCTTTAACTACTTGAGGAAAGAAGAAATTCCTTGATGTTTCCAGTCGTAAAAGTCCAAACAGGTTCTAGTTCAACAATTTCTTAGCAACACTGTGTTCTTCTAAATAAGAAATCCCCTGAATGTGCATCCTAACTACAGAAACCAGATATTCAATAAGCAATTACAGCTCCCATTTATCTATTTATAATAGTAATCCAATTTAATACAGTCTTATGTGCAGAAGTTCAGTTAAAGCTGTCGAAAGATGGAACAATTAGGTCTGAAACTCTGAATATAATTGTCCAGTCAAACCTAACTCTATTAACACGGTGAGCTTTTGGTGCAACCACGTGCAAATCTTTATATACTTATATAAAGAGTCATATTTTCATCTGGCGACCAATAGATTCACAGACCAAAGCACGTGCAAATCTTTATATACTATATAAAGAGTCATATTTTCATTTGGCGACCAATAGATTCACAAAATTAGGGATAAAGAGTGATCTTATTTTGAGCTGGATAGCAACTAACATAAGCAGTGTAAAATGAACTTTGAAATGTAGATTAACAGGAAAGCATATGTGTACTTCTATGTTATTTTCAAGCACTAGCTACTTTGTCACAGAAAAGTTAAATTAACTCCGGGATAGATGCACCTCTATGATATTCTGGAACATGCATAACCCTTCCTCTTGTTTTCCCTACTTATAACAAACCCCTTGCAAGTTAACTCATGAATAGTCCATGGAAAACGACCTTCTGAAAATTACAAGAAACTAAGCATTCATCATTCCTATCTTGGTAAAACTCAAATTCACATCTCAATGGGAAGAATCCGAGATTTTAAACTCATTACTTATGCTGAGCACTCTGATTCAGTTATTTAGCTAGAAAATAGATTGATGAATCAAAGCAGAAGGGATAAAAAAAAGCCACATCTCTGCATGAAAAAGCAAAATGGCAAGGAAAAGCTATGAAGCTTCTTGATGGAAAAACAACTCACAGGTAAAGGCTCTTTGAGGTTTTACATAAACTTGATAGCACAAGACACTGATCCCCTGTGAAGACTTTGCAGTTGAACTTTAACTTCCTTTTGCTTCTTTGGATCCCCGAAATGTCTCTTTGAACACACTATGTTCAGCTTCTCCAAAACTAATGCATTTTTCACCAAATTTCTTAAAAAAGAAATTTCTGTATCATTACCATGAAAATTGGAGTATGTCACTGTCTTGAGACTAGACAAGAAACAGGATGGTACAGATCCCAAGTTCCAGTCATCTTCACAAAGGCGCATGCAGGGGGCAAGTCCCTGAATGGAAAGAAAAATGAAAAATAAAAAAGAATTTATAAATAAGTCCATAATGGCAAAGTATTTCTACCTCAGAAAAATGAAGTGATTGCAACTTTGGCAGACATTGGAGCAGTTCCTTCAATGGTCCAATCGTATGATTTTCAAGTTCCATACTCAACTCCAAATGCATCAAGTTATAAAATACTGGAAGTCGGTCTTTCTCTATGTCTGCGATGAAGAGAGACTTGCCAAGCAACAAGTGGGATCACAGAAAAGGAAAAGAAAAAAGATCAGTGCCGCATATTTAGACATTCAACATTCTAGACTGTCATGTTCTGTATCTAATTCCGTCCTGTTAATAATTACCTCAATAGCCCTGCTAGATATTCTCGCAGCGTTAATTTTGTGTATCCCTCTAAAGAGCTTAACAGCACGAAAAGCAATTTGATTTCGCTTCTCATAGAGAATTGGGATGTGAATAGATGCATAAACTGAGGGGGATAGATTATACAAATATATCTCATTTGAGAGATAACCACTGTACTTTAGGAAACTAAGACTTGCTGCATCAATCTTGATTTCGCAGCCATTTAGATCGTCAGTGGAGCCAAAGAAAGGCAAATCATCAATTGTCAAGCTCTTCAATGTAGAGATTGAAATTGCGACATGCTTCAAGTTCATCCATTCACAATCTAATATAGCCAACTCTCGAAGCATAGGGCAACCAGAAAACAGCCTCTGGGTTGAGCTATCATCCCGAAATGTGACAAGACATAGGTGCAACGTTCTAAGGAAAGGAAAAAAGGTACTAGCAGGTAGTTCAAGAACACAATTCATTTCAAGTTTTAGAGAAGTAAGTGTCTTGCTACTGAAAACACATTGAGGCAACATAAAAGGCTCTTCTACAAAAAGGCAAAGATCAAGCTCTTTAGCATTATGCTTAATAGCAGCTAAAATCCATAAACAAACATGAGAGGCACTGAAGCAAACACGGCAGGAAAGGCGAAACTTTTTGATGTCTGATTCTTCTCGAAGTTGAAAAACTCTCTGGACAAAGTGCATGAAACAAGTGACGTTCACAGGATAACCAAAAATCCCACTTGAATAGAGCAATGAGTCATCAAAGTCAATGTTTTCAACACAAGTCCAAAGATTCTTCCACCTTGTTGATAGTATACATGTCCCTACAACATCTCTGGTAGGAAGATATGAAAGAATGTGATGAAGAATGGAATCAGGTAAAATGCTGATCTTATCTTCTCTGTTATCAATGTTATGCTCTTCCAAAGCATTTTGCCGTTTGAAGCAGTTAATTGTGTGCCACCTATGCCCTGGACCGGCAAAAAGGCAGTTATTAGGTCGAATATAGCAGTAAAGAAGTAGAAAGGAAGAACATAAATGCAAGTTGAAGCTTAAGATTTTCGTTAGCTGATGTGTGGAAACCAAACAAAAGAAGACTTGGATCTCTAACGTCATCAATGATTTACTTCGCTGTCCGACAATCAAAGTATTTACAAGTTCGTAATGACATCCAAATCGTATCTTAAACGAGAAAACAGAAGAATCAATTATCAACCTAATGCATTAGAAGTTCTCACTAGTGAATCACGACGTTCCAATGAAATAGAACCCTTCTCCAACGGATGAAGGAAACAGTACGGTTGATATGTGATAATATATTAATATCAACAATAGAGGAATCCCACTTGGCCATATTTGGGACAAGGTAGGGGAAGGCAATATAATGGGCATAAGATTTGTAACAACAAAATCTGGACTGGATCAGCTGAAAATCAGTTCAGCCGAATCGGAAGCTAGTTTAGCTGAGCTGAGTAGCTTGGCCGAGCCTAGGGGTAGCTCATTCAATCCAAGGACTACTTCAACTGAGACGAACACCAGTTCAGCCAAGACGCAGACCAATTCAACTGAGTTGAAGACAAAAGCTTTGAACCCATGTCAACCAATCAACCAGATAATGATTTTTGGGTCTTCATTATGACAGGTTAAGCTTAAGATGAGTCTGAGTCAACTAGATTAGCATGAATTTGATCACACCTAGACTGAACTAAGTCCAAGGAGTTAGGCCAGAGAATCAATCAAGATCCAAGTTACCGTGGGAAAAGCTTAACACATTTGACAGAGAAACTTATAAGCAAAGGATGTAGTTAGTAACTAACTTCCCATGTACTGAGAGACAAAGGAACAAACCAGTCACTTGATGCAATCCTTAAAATACAAGAAAGTCAGCTGAGCAAACTATCAATTATCGCCACAACATGGGGGCATAATCTACTAATGCAGACTTAACGAACTCGTCTAGAAGAGTGTGTACAAATTCTTAGGATAGCTAATTTCCATCTCTAACTCTATAAATATATGAACTTATCATTTATCAACAACAATAGGACATCATACATCCAACACAACACATCCACAACCCATGTTATCCTTTTTTGGTCAATTTTATTCCATGCAGTTTATTTTAGTTTTTCATCTTACATCCAAGTATTTACAACTTTCACTTGCACACTTTCTTAAAATTTCATCCCCTCTTTAGTCTAGTCCTATTAACAACCTCAACTTTCTTCCACACTAGTGTTGCAACTTGTACTTGCAAGTACCTTACAGGAAGAGATCTATTAAACTCTCACATTGATGAAGGGAATGAGTTGTTGTCACCTTATATATGTCTTGGATAATCCTCAACTTATGAACTAATTTTTAAGGTTGAGTTAGACCCAAAGTTCATTTTCTTTCTTTACATGTTACCAGAGCCAGACTCATCCCTATTTTTAGTTTAGCCAATGTTGGACTCTCATGTTATGTTGCTCACACTCCACATATCCCGAGTTGGGTGGGGCAGTGTAGGAGTCCCACATTGGTCTCCTTCCTTACATGATCTTAGGCCCAAGGTTCATTTCTAGTCAAAGGAATAGAGTCTCTTCTCCATAGGAATCATCACAAAATTTTGGGAATCATTAACATGTGATTCGGCTACAATCTACAGAGCTGACTATGCTCAATCATCTAATACACTTCGCCAACAAAAGATCAAATGTATCTCAAGAAATCCAAAATCAACAGCGGTAATTGAAAAAGCTAAAGAAAGAGCCACCTTTACTAAAAAATGGAATAAAGAATAGAAAATAAAAGACGAATATAAGCTATATGCAATTCGACAGTAGCATCAACAACCCCAGAAGACATAACCCAAAAAGAAAACAGAGAAGAGAGTGAAAGGGGGAGCTCACCACTAGTGATCATAGTTGATATTTGACCCGACAAACGAACCGAATGCCTTCGTTTGAGGGGAAGGGTTTGATATCAGAGAGAAGCCTGAACCCGGCAACATCCGAGTCGGTGTGTGTGCATATCGTCAATCGTGTAACGCCTTTAGTAGTAATGATGGGAAGCACGCTTTCGTCACGTGACCCCAAATTCTGTACTCCATTTGACAAATCCAGCTTCTTACACTTGTATGGCGCCCATTTGGTTTCTCTTCTTTTTTTATTTTGGCGTACAATTTTTTGGGGAGCCTTGTTATAGAAAAGATATCATAAAAACTCTCATTCTCAAAGAAGTTTTCATATTATTGGAATAATACATTAAAAATCCAAATGTCGGTTTTTTTTATTTTTTTTGCAAATTTCCAGTCACTTTTGATTAAGAAATGAAAAAAACTAGTTCAAGCATTAGCAAAAATAGTAGGGGAAATGCAATGCTATGCAGTATATAGTAGTATTACTGTTTTAGTATCAAAGAAACTTAACTTAGGCGATTGTTTATGTTAATCATTGCGAACTGTGCTCATAAAGTTAAGAATTAGCCATGTAAATTAAAATGTATGACAAAAAATAACAGAAAGTGTAATCATTCTATTCAATTCTTCACTTTATGCCCACCACTTGCAGGTGCAAAAATATGTGATAAGTGCGTCGATTCAAAATAAAACATAACTGCGCATCCGGGGAATCCAACCCCGGTCAGTACCGTGGGAGGGTACTATGATACCACTACACCAGATGCGCTTGCATGTCGTTGCAGCTGCTTGAGTTGAATTTGATAAGATATTTTTCTTAATTTATAGTAATTGGGTTGCCTAGGATTTTGAAACCCATACTGGAATAAGTTATAAAATTAGCTTGTGGGATTCGGAGCTATTGGATACTCTTAATTTCAAAGGGTAGAGACACATTGAAAGGTGTTTCTACCTAACCAATTATCGACCAAATTTTATGTTTTTATTTACCGTGAAAATGATAATAACAATTAAATTTGATTATGGGACTTGTCACACCCCCTTTTTTCACTTCACTAACCTCTTAAAATATATAAAAAGATTTTGAAGCTCAAAAGGGTCTTCAAACTTGAAAGTGACAAAAATTTATGTTCAAAATGATTTTTTTAGAGTCGCCACCTGACATTGGTTTTGGTGTGTCAGACCAACATTTTTAGAAAGAATTTTTTCCTTTTAAAACACTTTGGACTCAAAAACTAAGTCAGCACCAGAGATTCGGGCAAGGGGGTTCATTTGACTCGGGGAGAAGGTGTTAGGCACTCTCCAAGTCCCGTGAAAGTCACGGTTGCGTACTCAATCTAGTTGGCTTTTAGAATATTCATATTGAGGTAAAAATAAACACAGAAAAGAAAAATAAACACACAAGAGGCTCGAGGCCGTCCCCACCTAATAAAAGAAAAATGAAAACAAAAATACTACGAGTTCTACTATCGACCTCTAAATACAAATGCTTCGGGACATATCCCGGAATAAAACACATACAAATCCTTCGGGGCATTCCCCGGATAATAATGGACTAAAAGGGGACGACCTCTAGCCTCGAAAAAGAAAAAAACAAACAAATAAACTACCTAATACTTGCTTACCCAGGTGGCTGGCCTAAACATGTTCCTAGCGATTAAGTAAGAAGAGTAAAAATAAAAATAAACTAAAGTAAATAAAATTCTTTTCATGCTCATTCTCCTTTTAACTTTTAATTTTCATGTATTTAGACCAAGCCAATCCTAAAGCATGTAATTTAACTAAATACTAGTGGGCTCGATCTTTTTCAAATTCCCCACGGCTCAATATCATTTAAACAAGTATAGATCAGCCAAAGGAGATAAGCATCCAGAATACATAAACTAGAGTAAGAATACAAATAATAGTTGAAAGAAATATATGGTGGATCCAAAGTGATAAAGAGCCTTTTAAATTCCACTTTAGCCCATCCATGTATCTTTTTGACTTTTTAGAAATCGAATAACACCAAGCTGACCTTAGTCACTCAAAATTAACACACCATCAGACACACTAATATGAACTCAGAATTTTCAAACCTACACTACACGTCTGAGCATATTCACATAGCATTCACCACACTCCAGCATATTAAACATATTGAAATAACATCATGGGTATTTGGACAAAAGAAATCTGGATTTTAAGTGAAAGTACATCAACTAAGACACAACCAGAAACTTGCAAAAATCACAATAGCCATTCTTAGAAGGTGACCTGCCAACTTCCTATGAACGATTTAGTCTTATAGCTCAAGCGGGAATCGATTCAAGCCTAACGATTTAGGAAGATAGAACCAAACAAGCATTCATTTTAGATGTAGGAGCATAAACAGTATAGACACATTGGCTACTGGAAACAAAGTTAGCTCAACTACCATTACAAACCGACAGTTATGTTTAACCAACCAATCATCAAGCTAGCGAAAGAATTCGGCCATATGCCGAGTTGACAGTTAGTCATTTAATCATCTAATACACTGGAACTTTTGATAATCTAAGATGTTATCCATTTAAGATTTTTGACTATGTTATATCCAATTTCAATCATGGTAAATGATAGAGTAAGACATAGAGATACTATCACCACAACATGGACACTAACTTAGCATCCCAGAGACATCAAGTTCAAAACAACGTGGCTAATCAACCATTCATGTGGCCAACAGAAGAAGGAAGCGAATAAAAACAACAGTCTTTACTTACACATAGCTACAGGAGATTTACTCAGATCTACCAGTCAAACGAGATAGAACATGCTTCTATAGAAAAACAAACATGTTACAAAACCATCTTACACTAGATTTCTCACATAAATGCGAAACTAAGCAAGGAGATGCTACTTCATTTAGTCAGAACTAAGCAAGGAAACTAAGCACACTTTAAGCACAAAGATGATAACAAAGCACCCCATTACAGTTCAAAAAGAGCAAATGTGATTCAACTATTCTTCTAGCTAAAACCTGAAGTTCGAATTCGGATTGAGATCACACCAAAGAAAATAAAATTAAGGGAGGAGGAAATGAACCTGAAATGAACTTTCTATCAATAACACTTCAACGGCTACAATGATTCACAGAGAATGAATTCGAACAAAGGGTTGCGACAGGAACCACGAACCAGTAGCAAGAATCGAGCAACGTCGGGAAATCGAACCCACCTCGAACAGCCTCTCAAACTAATCGAACTCCATATTTGAAACAAGAAGCCGAAATTAAAATGAAGAAACAGAGATCCACTTCTTTGATTTTTCTGTTTTTGGGAACCAAAAGAACACTAATAGAGAACTCTAATTTTTCGAATGAATTGAAATTAGAAGAACAACTGAAAATCCGAAAACCCTAACTCTTTCTCCCAAAGTTTCTTCGATTTTTTTGTCCAAAGAACCCTAGTTTTTCCTCTAAAATTTTCTCCAGAACCAAACCCCTAATTTTTCTTTTCCTTAGAACCCCAATTTATATGCCAACCCAGAACCTTCTATGCTTTTTTCCTCAAGAAATCCTCCGAAAAAATCCAAAAAGAGTCCGAAAATAGATTTTTAGGAAGATGGACGCCTAGGATTTTGATCCTACGGTTCCCATTTTTCTATCATCCGTTCATGGACGGTCTTAATTTCTCGAAGAAAGTGAGAGATGAACGCGTGAAATCGGGAAAGAATATTCCCGTTGTCAAAAGTCGTAATGCCACGTGGAGAGAGAGATGAGAGGAGGGGACCAGCGAGGGGGGGTCGTGTAATGATTGGAGGAATTTTTCGGCGGGTTAGGGTGGTAGGCAGTGGCAGAGAGTGGAGGAAGGGGGTGCCATTTTTGGGAGATGGGGGATTAGGTTTAGGTTTTTTTTGGGGTGTTATAATTAGGTTTTATATGGGGTTAAAATGAAATGTGGGCTGTTGGATTAGAGTGGAATGGAGGGCTGAGATTTAAGAAGGAATGGGGCAGGTCAGATGGCTGGGCGCGGGTCATGAGCTGCTGGGTTGGTGAGAAGTATAAAGAGGTGTGGGTCTTGTGGGCTGGGGATTAATTGGGTCAAGGGGGAACAGAAATTGGGCCTACAAATTGGGGTTTCAACTCTTTTAAATCCAAAAATAAATAAAAACTTGAACATTTCTTTTAAAATGATTTAAAATTAATTCTAATTAATTAAAGTAAAATATATCATACTATGAAACTATATTTTTTATATAAATTATTATATTCAAAATAAAAGTTAAAATCATGGTAAGAACAAAAATATATTACTATAAAAATATTAATAACCTAAACTAAATAGAAATAAGATAGAACATGAAACTATTTCTTCTTCTTCTTCTTTTTTTTGTATTTTTCAATTTTTGTGCCTTAAAAACTAAAATTATAATTAATAATAAAGTGAAATCCTATAGAAATAAACTCAAATAACTATCCTAAAAATACTAGGGCTATTAAAGGTAATTCTAATGTGCGGGTCAAAAATTACATGTCTACAGCTGCCCTTTTTTACGGGAAGCACGAAGTGTTTCCAAATTAAGAACAACAAGACATGTTTTTGACCCGACCCATATTTAGAGAGACTATAACTAAAAGAAAAGAGAATGTGATCGAGCCCTGATATCTGAGCTGCCTACATATCCTTGGTTATAAAGGAATCAAGCCACGTGTAGTTCATAAGTGAGAAGGACGATGGAGTATCGAGGTGGAGAGTCGAGTGAAGTGCCGTCGAGGTTCCGGTCCGCGGGTCCTTCCATTACATAAAAAAATAAAAGAAAAAATTACAGCAAAAGTAAAGGAAAAATACAAGATCTTATCTACTTCTTGTCTTGAATCTTCCTTGAATCTCTACTTGATCCTTCAACATGAAACTGAAAAATGGTCCCTGTTCTTCAGATTGGCTCCTGATGCCTCTTGAATTTGAGAATTGAAAGTAACTCTGAAATAAATTCCCTCGTTCTCCAGGTGGGCGCCTGCCACTAACTTAAAACTTGAAATGAATTCCCTCATTTTCCAGGTGGGCGCCTGCGACTTGCTTGAAATGGATTCCCTCGTTCTCCAGGTGGGTGCCTGCAACTTTCTTGAAACTTGAAATGAATTCCCTCATTCTCCAGGTGGGTGCCTGCGAATGACTTGAACTTTGAAATAATTCCCTCATTCTCCAGGTGGGCGTCTGCCAATGGCTTGAACTTGAAATAATTTCCCTCATTCTCCAGGTGGGCGCCTGCCACTGATTTAAAACTG